CCTCCCCTTGCCTCTCCGCTTCTCTACCTCTCCCCCCCCAGCCTCCCATGCCTCCTCTACCTCCCACCACCTCCCCCTGCCTCCCCTGCCCATGTTGACTCTGGGGCCCTAAGCAGAGCCCTGGCCCTAGCAGAAAACAAGCTCCCTCTTTAAACACAACCTTAGCTGACAAGGACTTGGAAAACACGTTCGGATGGCCCAGGGAAAAAATGTCTGACCAACATCATTTTCACTGAAACAGGCTGCTGATTCTTGCAGAGTTTTATTTCTAGCAAGTATGTTTCCTTACAAATGATTTATCTAGGAAAATGTATAAGGTTCATTCTCAAAGGAAATGGTTTTCTTTGTAAGTAGAGAGTTATGTAAGTCTTAAATAATGGCATCTACAGGTGCGGCGGCTGACCGCTGCTGGCATCGCGGGGGCATTATGCATGAGGACCTCAAGTTCTAGGCCAGCCTGGCTGACATAGAGACAGTCTGCCTTACGAAGAAGAGAAAGCTGGGTACTGTGGCTCATGCCTGTAATCATAGCTACTCAGGAGACTGAAATCTGAGGATCTGGGTTTGAAGCCAGCCGAAGGCAAGAAAGTCCATGAGATTCTTATCGCCAATTAACCACCAGAAACCCAGAAGTGGCTGTGGTTCAAAGTGATAGAGCACTGACCTTGTGGGAAAAAGCTCAGGAACAGCACCCAGCCCTCAGTTCAACCCCACAACTGACAGAAGGAGGAGGAGAAGCTAATTCAACCCTTTTCTCTGAAAACAAGAGTGTCTCTTCTCTAAGAACCCAGTGTTCAGAAGACTGTATTCCAGACTTGACTAAATCAACAATGGCACATAAGCACTTACGTCAAGGACATGTATTAGTTCAAATTGTCAAATTCAAATCACTAAGGTAGATGTAATGACTCTTGGGCTAAAAATCACTTCATTTTTGATGGACATTTTCATCCATGTGTAAGCTTGAAAATTATGGTACCTTTTGTGTATGGATATGTATGCACACAAGCCAGTACTGAGGCTTGACCACAGGACCTTTCTTTCTCATTTGATGTGTTCTACCCAAGGCCAGCACTCTACCACTTGAGACACAACTCCACTTCCAGCTTTTTTGGTAGTTAATTGAAGCAAAGAATCTCATGGGCTTTTCTGCCCAGACCGGCTTTGAACTTCCATCCTCAGATCTCAGCCTCCTGAGTAGCTAGGATGACAGGCTTGAGCCTCCAACACCCAGCAAATAATGACTCTTTATTCACAAGGGGGAACAAAGAAAGAAAAAAACAATACTGAGTGAAATGGGAGGTGGCATCAAATGCAGTGTGGGTTGCAGAAGCAGAATGTGGAGAAACATCTGCCGAGTGAAGTCTTTGGTGGGGATGGAAGCAAGGCGCCTGCCTGCCTGGTGCCTTTCTTCTTCAAGTCAGAGACAGAGACAGAGGGAAACAGAGAGGCAGAGGGAGACTAAGGGAGACAGAGGGACAGAGACAAAGAGATACAGAGACAGAGGAGACAAAGAGACAGAGGGGGACACAGACAGACAGAGGGAGACTAAGAAAGACAGAGGGACAGAGACAGAGACAGAGGAGACAGAGAGACAGAGGGGGACACAGACAGAGAGACAGAGGGAGACAGAGGCAGAGAGACAGACAGAGGAGACAGACAGACAGACAGACAGACAGAAGAGACAGAGGAGACAGAAGAGACAGAGAGAGGGACAGAGGAGACAGAAAGCCAGACAGAGGGACAGAAGAGACAGGAGACAGAGAGACAGAAGAGACAGAGGGACAGAGGAGACAAAGGGACAGAGGAGACAGGGAGACAGAGGGACAGAGGGACAGAGAGACAGAGACAGAAGGACAGAGGGGGGGACTGGGAAGGTGGCTCAGTGGTAGAGCGCTTGCCTTGCATGCATGAGGCCCTGGGTTCGATTCCTCAGCACCACATAAGCAAAAAAAGAAAAAAGCCGGAAGTGGCGCTGTGGCTCAGTGGTAGAGCACTAGCCTTGATCTGAAGAGCTGAGGGACAGCGTCCAGGCCCAG